AAAAAAAAAAAAAAAAAAGAAAGAAAAAAGAGGCTGGTACATAGTAAAGGCACTATAAATGTTAGCTATTGTTAAGTGCTCTGTTACTCATACTTGGGGGACCTGCTTCAACTCTGTAGTGATAAGATGGGAAGGCCCCAGGAACCAGGTTTGCTTCTCGTTTTCTTTTCTATTTTTGTTTTTTGTTTTGAGACACAGTCTCACTCTATTGCCCGGGCTGGAGTGCAGTGACACTATCTCTGCTCACTGCAACCTCTGCCTCCCAGGTTCAAGAGATCCTCCTGCCTCAGCCCCCCTAGTAGCTGGGATTACAGCCACATGCCACCATGCCTGGCTAATTTTCGTATTTTTAGTAAAGACAGGATTTTGCCATATTGGCCAGGCTGGTCTCGAACTCCTGACCTCAGGTGATCCACCCGCCTCCGTCTCCCGAAGTGCTGGGATCACAGGCGTGAACCACCGTGCCTGGCCCCTACTGCTTCTCATTTTCTTTGTGAGATGCTAAAAGAGTAAGAAGAGACCCTGAAGCTGTCTCCTTCCAACCTGACACCTATCCTTCTCTTTGTTCAGGCCGCAGGCATGGTTTTGGTCAACTGATGTTTGCAGATGGTGGCACCTACCTGGGTCATTTTGAGAATGGGCTCTTTAATGGCTTTGGGGTATTGACCTTCTCAGATGGTTCAAGGTAGGTATGAGGTCATTTCTTTCTTCACCTTAAATAAGGGAGGCTCTGACATAAAAATGGGACACTGGTAAATATCTTGTCAATCCTGAGCTTGTCCCACTCCCTGCAGTATACAGATGAGAAATAAGTAGTTCTCTTATTGGTTATTTTTTAAGTAGACCTAAAATTTGAAATGTCAACCAAGTGAGTGACTTTCCACCCCGCTCCCATTCCTGCCCTATCTTCTTTCCTTGAGATCAGGGCTTCGTGTCATACATATTCTCTGATCCTTCTCTGCTGGTTGGGAGTACGTGGGGTAGGTAGAGCTATGTGACAGGTGGAATCGGCTTGCTCCTTGGCATTATTAAATAGCAGAGATCAGCAGCTGCTCGACTCCATTCATCTGGACAGCTCACTTCCCACTGAAGGCTAACTTCTTGGTGTTTCTGCAGGTATGAGGGGGAGTTTGCCCAGGGCAAGTTTAATGGCGTCGGAGTCTTCATTCGACATGACAACATGACCTTTGAGGGGGAATTTAAAAATGGCAGAGTAGATGGTTTTGGTAAGTTGCAGCCCAGCAAGATGGGTGACTTAGGTGGGCATAATGCGGGTGGAAATATGCCTGTTTAGTTTTAATTCTGTGGGTGTCCAGCAATCCATAGTGTCCATGCCCTGACCCCTATCCGTTGAACTCACCAATAGAGTACTCCTGAGTTGAGCAGGGAGTTTTTCTCCTTCTTCAGCCTCGACATATCAAGCTGATCTTTGAGACATGAATGGCATTGTCACTCCCATATTTTCTCTGCCCTCCTCAAAGGCCTGCTGACTTTCCCTGATGGTTCTCATGGAATCCCCCGCAATGAAGGTCTCTTTGAGAACAACAAGCTGCTGCGGCGTGAGAAGTGTTCTGCAGTCATTCAGCGGGCCCAGAGCGCCTCCAAGTCAGCCAGAAATCTCACCGCCTGACAGCGCCGTGGGTCTCAGCTGACAAGTACTGGGAAAAGCCAGTGCCCCCGTTGTTGACTCGAGGTGAGCGAATGAACCACAGCTGAGATAAGTTGACAATGACAGTGGAGCAAGGGACTTATATGTGCCCTGTCATCTGCCAATCCAGAACTGGACCACAGAAAAGTGCTGAGGATGCTGGCCAGCAGAGCCTGCAGCAGTCGTTGGCGGTGCTGTCTTTCCCTGACCCTTGTGTGCTGGAAGACAGAGGAACTGCCTCTTCTCACTGGTTAACACTCTGTTCCTAAGACCTCAGGTTACCCAATGCAGCCTGCTGTGACCCTTCTGCTTCATTTTCTGCCAAGTGATACAGAATCTCTTTGTTCTGCTGCTTTTGGGGCAGGTGATCCTAGCCCTAGCTTAGGGCCAGTGCTCTGTGCTACCCTGGAGAAATAGGAAAAAGATAGGGGTGGCTCAGTACAGCAGCCCTGTGAAAGTCAAGGCCAGACCTTTTCTTTTTGTTATTATAAAAAATTGAGCTAGGGTCTTGCTATGCTGCTCAAGCTCATCTCCAACTCCTGGGCTCAAGTGATCCTCCTGCCTGCCTGGGACTGCCAAAGTGCTGGAATTGCAGGCATGAGCCACCAAGCAGAGCTTTTCTGTATGTTACTCCTTATGCTGGTTGGAATCATGGCTCCAGGCTTCCACTTTGTCTGATCGTCTGATCGGACTGATAGTCATTTCTGCCTATGCCCCTGTGAAGGATTCGGTAAGAGTGCTATTTCCTTCTTCCTTTAGAGGACAGGCTGTCTTCCTTCACCAAGTTACAGCAGATAATCCCTATGTGTGCCTCTCTCCTTCCTTAGATGGGGAACAGTACACCTTTTGGGGACAGTCAAGAAAGAAACTCATGTAAACAATAATCTTATTACTTGTATTTGTGACTAACTCCAGGGAAAAGGATAGAATATTTAGGCCGCTTCAGGCCCTACCACGGAGTGAACTGAATTTGTAGGGATGGCTTGGGCTGACACAGTTTCTTCCAGTGGACCAATAAATCAGACTCACCTGAACCCCTGGGATTTTGGTAGAATTTGGACCTACTCTAGGACTGTGGGGAACTAAAGGAGCATTTGGCTCACTGTAGCTCTTCTATCATGAGCCTTGACCAACAGGTGGCAATCAGACCTTACTGATGGGATCTCTGCAGAGTTTATCATGGAGGCCCCCCAGCTTACCCCTGTACACAAATACGTCCCCCACCTCTAGCCCCCTAGCCTCACACTGAATGTCTCCTCAACAGCAGATTGTGGTGGAAGTTATAGCCGTGTGCCTCTATTTATTCTCTGAGTTGTACTGTAGAAACAGGTGTTTATAAAGAATAAAGAAATCACCAGAACTGCCTATACCTAGTTTTCCTGACTTTCTGGCCCTGCGTCTTCATGAATATCAATCCATCTGCCGCTTGCAAAAGTTAATCAGATTAGGCCTTGGGACTGACCCTGCACATTTTACTATATCAAATCATTTAATTTTCTCAGCCTCTACAGAGGAGAGGTATGGACTTTTTTTTTTTTTCTTTTTAAATCAGACAGTCTCAGGCTGCCCCAACTAGTAAGTGGCACAGCTGGGTGGGATTTGTATCCAAGTCTTTCTGATTCCAACTCCCTTTCTACTGGCCCCCTCTCACCGTGAGCATCAGAGTGCCCAAGACTTGAGACCAGTTATGGCCACACCTGCTGGGTTACCTCTGGCAGGTCCACTCCTGCGGAGTTTCCCTTTCTCTGCGATGAGTAGAGAGTAGTGGAACATCGACCCCCACGCTCACCCTTTTACATGCATGTCCTTATTGGAGGAAGGTACTATTATCATCCCTGTATAACAGATGAGGCTCAGGGAAGTTAAGCCAGTTTCTCCAAGGTCCCATAGACACTAAGGGGCAGATCCCAGAACTTAAACCCTGACCTGTTTCAGCCCAGAGGCTGAGCATTTTTTTTTTTTTTTTTTGACAGAGTTTTGCTCTGTCACCAGCTGCCAGGCTGGAGTGTAGCGGCGCAATCTCGGCTCACTGCAGTCTCCGCCTCCTGGGTTCCAGCAATTCTCCTGCCTCAGCCTCCTGAGTAGCTGGGCCTAGAGGTGCACGAGGCTGAGCTTTTAACCAGTACATTACCCTGCCTGCCTAGCCCTGACTTTTCTCCCAGTCCTAAACTGGATTCTTCTCTGAGCCCAGCTCCTCTAGAAGTTGCCTGTGAGAAGACCCCAGGAGCTAAGTCCCAAGCTTTAGTGCCATTCAGAGCCTGGTTTTGGGTTGAAGATTGAGATCTTTTATTTTCTTTCCTCTAGCCTCTGCCCTCCCCACTAAATAATTATCTATTTACCTCTCTTTTTTAACCTTACACTTTCTTTTTAATGAGTAATTTTTTTTTTTTTTTTTTTTTTGAGACAGAGTTTCACTCGTTACCCAGGCTGGAGTGCAATGGCACAATCTCGGCTCACCGCAACCTCCGCCTCCTGGGTTCAGGCAATTCTCCTGCCTCAGCCTCCTGAGTAGCTGGGATTACAGGAACGCGCCACCATGCCCAGCTGATTTTTTGTAATTTTAGTAGAGACGGGGTTTCACCATGCTGACCAGGATGGTCTCAATCTCTTGACCTCGTGATCTACCCACCTCGGCTTCCCAAAGTGCTGGGATTACAGGTGTGAGCCACTGCACCCAGCCTTAATATGAGTAATTTTTAAAAAACGTATCTCCATCTTTCTGCCACTAGTCAAATATTACCACTGAAAAAGGTTAAATATTTTGGAGAAAGCATCTTTTTTTTTTTTTTCGAGATGGAGTTTCCCTCTTGTGGCCCAGGCTGGAGTTCAGTGACACGATCTTGGCTCACTGCAACCTCTGCCTCCCGGGCTCAAGCAATTCTCCTGCCTCCTGAGTAGCTGGGATTACAAGCTTGCACTACCATGCCCGGCTAATTTTTGTATTTTTTAGTAGAGATGTTCACCATGTTGGTCAGGCTGGTCTCCAATTCTTGACCTTGGGTGATCCTCCTGCCTCAGCCTCCCAAAGTGTTGGGATTACAGGCATGAGCCACTGCACGGGGCCCTAAACACTTAGCACTTTAATCAAAAAGGAAGTTGGCTGGGTGTGGTGGTTTACACCTATAATCCCAGCACTTTGGGAGGCCAAGGCAGGAGGATCACCTGAGATCAGGAGTTCGAGACCATCCTGATCAACATGGCGAAAACCCATCTCTACTAAAAATACAAAAATTGCCTGGGCGCGGTGGTACATGCCTATAATCCCAGCAACTTGGGAGGCTGAAGCAGGAGGCACAAGAATCACTTGAACCTGGAAGGTGGAGGTTGCAGTGAGCCAAGATTGTGCCACTGCACTCCAGCCTGAGCGACACAGCAAGACCCTGTCTCAAAAAAATAAAAGTACTAAGTGTTTCTAAATAGCTCAGTTGCTCTCTTTTACCGCTTATCCCTCTCTTAGACCTCCAGTAAGTGAATGCCTGTTGGCTCAGTATTGTTGGGGTGGCTCTTAGAGCTGGGAGAAGTCAGACCATCAGAGCTCAGTTGCCTCTGGGAAGGTTCTTGACATCTGCCCAGGAAACCTAAGATCTGCATAGCAATGGAGTGTCCATCTTTACATAGCCACACTAATTTTACCTGTTAAATTTTATTATAGTAACACAGTGATTATTTTTAATAACAAAAGCAGAGTACCTGGAGGCAAGAGGATGGCCCTGTCTCAGGCCAAGTCCCCTTACTGTTTCAGATTTAGGCTGGCCAGAATAGTCTTCTAGAATGTAACATTTATCCACCAGGTGTCATTATTTACCAATCTGACAAGCCACTGGGCTGTCTCCACGCATGCAATGGTTGGAATCAAGGCTAGAGACCAAAATAGGAAATGAATGAAAATAGACTTAGAAAAAAGGGCATTGTGGCTGGCATGCATCTTGCAGTGTGGAGGGAAGGGCTGGGGTGGAGGGGGGGTGGTAAAGAGTCCTTTCAAAGACCAGTGACACTTTCCTGATCAAGTTTCCTAAGCTGATGCTTCCCTGGAAGGAGTCAGAACTTAGGTTTGTAAGAGTAGCCCTGGCTTCCAGCTGCACTACGCTAGACTCAGGTTTGAAGCCTCAAGTCTAAGTAGTCCCCACTTTGATAAAAGAAATGCCCAGCCGGGCACAATGGCTCACACCTGTAATCCCAGCACTTTGAGGGGCTGAGGTGGGTGGATCATGTGAGGTCAGGAGTTTGAGACCAGCCTGGCCAACATGGGGAAACTCCATCTCTACTAAAAATACAAAAATTAGCTGGGTGTGGTGGCGCATGCCTGTAATCCCTGCTACTCGGGAGGCTGAGGCAGAAGAATCACTTGAACCCAGGAGGCAGGGTTGCAGTGAGCCAAGATCGCCCTACTGCACTCCACCCTGGGTGACAGAGCAAAATTCTGTCTCAAAAAAAAAAAAAAAATTCCCTTACTGTGCCTAAGTACCCCTCTGGCCTTCCTTTCTAACTTCCTGTGCCTCAGGGCATAGGAAAGCATCCACAGTAGAAGGACAAATTGAGAAATTGCTCTTTCTCAGTCTTCAGACCAGAGAGACAGTTTAGGATATAAAAGGGAGAGAGAAGTCAGGGGCCATGAGAATAAGAGGTGTGCATGAGCGTGCCTGTGAAAGGCTGGCTGGAAGACCCGAGTAGGCAAAGGATCCTCTACCCACTCCCCACCACCCGCTCCCCTTATCCCCCCACTGCGCTCTCCGATTCAGGCTGCAGGTGCAAGGCAGGAGGCTGAGATGGGCTCAGGCCAGCCATGGATGCTGCCTGCCCTCAGAGCCAGCCATTGCTGGTGAAATCCATGCGCAGTGCCTCCTCCTCAGCGGGGCTCAGCTCCTGCAAGGGGGCGCGGCAGGGGCCTCCGTAGTAGCCAAACCAGTCCATGGTTTTCTTCAGCCCTGGGATCCCGAAGCGCCGTGTCACCTGCAAAGCAGGGCCTGTTAGAAGACACTAAAGAATTCTCTGAACACAGAAAGTTGAAGTCCTACCCTCTTCCCCCAGGAAAGTAACTATCAAATCTATGGCACTGAGGGTAGATTGGGAATCCAGATTTAGACACCAGAGAGCAGGTCTATAATAGCAAAATGCAAAAACTTCAGATTGAGGAAGAAGAGTGCCTCCTTTGGTTTTAGGAGAAAAATCCACTGCAGCAGGGAGGAGAATGGCATTCAGTCCTTGAGCTGGGGTGGGAGAAGACAGCAAGGCTGTGGATATAGGCACTAGAGCATCGCCAGTCTGCAGCCCAGTTCCCTGAAACACTGAATGTCCTCCTAGGAAAAGCAAAACATCATTGCCCAAGGAAGTTTTGTTGTATAAACTGTGTCATTTACTTATTATCCCTGAGTAAGTTATCCTGTCTAAAAAAGGAAGGGGCTGGACAACATGATCTCTAAAGGTTTTTTCATGATAATGGGGACACTAAAGCTATTGTTACAGTTTATTTTTATTTACTTATTTTTTTGAGACAGAGTCTCACTCTGTCACCCAGGCTGGAGTGCAGTGGCATGATCTTGGTTCATTGCAACCTCCCCTTCCCGGGTTCAAACGATTCTCCTGCTTCAGCCTCCTGAGTAGCTGAGACTACAGGCACTTGCCGCTGCACCAGGCTTTTATTTATTTATTTATTTTGCATTTGTAGTAGAGACAGGGTTTCACCTGTTGTCCAGGCTGGCCTCAAATCCCAAATCCCTGACCTCAAGTGATCCACCCACCTCGGCCTCCCAGCATGCTGGGATTACAGGCATGAGCCACCGAGCCCTGAATAATTTATTTATTTAAATTTTATTTTTATTTTTTTTTAGATAGGGTCTCACGCTGCCGCTTAGGCTAGTGTGTAGCGGTATGATCATGGCTCACTGCAGCCTAGACCTCCCAGGCTCAATTGATTCTCCCACCTCGGCCTTCAGGGCACTTAGGACTACAGGTGCATGCCACCATGCCTGGCTAATTTTTGCATTTTTTGTAGAAACGAGGTCTCACTATGTCGCCCAGGCTAGTCACGAACTCCTGAGCTCAAGTGATCTGCCCACCTCAGCTTCCCAAAGTGCTGGGATTAACAGGTGTGAGCCATGGCGCCCGGCTATTATAATTTAAAATCATGCATGGAATTTTACAGAATAAATGAAGCATCAAATTTCCTTGCTTTTGGTATAGCAACTGGTTATTTCATGCTGATCAGAAGTATTAGATGAATCTTTCACTACCTGAAAACTAGGAAAGTAATCCTTAAGAAAGGTTTATTTGGAGGGAAGCTAAAACCTTAGGAGGGTAAAAATAAGAGGTTGTTTGGGATGAAAAGGCCAGGAGCCATTGATGAAAGATTGACTAATAACTGTTGACCGCTAGAGGCCCGGAGGCTTTATCAAGCATGGATTTTTTTTTTCTTGGAATGGGTGGTAAGCTATCCTCCTCCAAGCCTTGTCCCCCATGATGTTCTAATAGCCAGGCCTTTCTACCCAAAGCTTCAGTAGGTGGGAAAGACCCAGGAGAGGACGGAAGTAAGAGGTACCTGCAGAAAAGCTCACTCCTACCATGGATTTCCAAAGATAATTGATATGGCCCCTCTTTAAACCCTAAGAAAGGGTTGGTGGCAAAGACTGGAGAAAGCCCTAAATGTAGCCAGGGGCAGGAGGCAGGCTGCTTGGAAGGCGGAGGAAGGACATTGTGTTCGACCAGGGAGAGCTAATAGAGTCACATCAAGCTGCTCTTGGGGTGTCTGAGCCTACAGCCCAGGCAGCAGAAAGGTGTTCCAGGCATTCCTGGGTATGTGCCCAGAGCTGGCACAGGAGCGGATGCAGAATGAAGGGTGAGTCAGGATGACACGCAGATATCGGGATGGCAGCTAGGCATTTGCTCTTCCCCAGGGGCAGCCCAAGCTGCCTCGTCTGTGAAATGAGATGATAACAACACCTACCCCATAGAGACATCACAGGGCCAGATGAGAAAAACACCACTAATATTAGACCAATTCCCATGAGCCCTGGAAACTGCTCCTTTGCCTGTCCCACTGGAATGCAGGTTCTGGGACCTTCGCTTTCACAGGTGGGTGTCAGTGGGAGAGCAGAGGCCCCACCCCAGTGGAATGTTCAGTACGTGCAGGATGGCATGTGCCCAATGGAGGCCTTTGTTTCTTCAAGTTCTTACAACCTGTGTATAAAAGGTCCCATTTCCGGAGCACCTTCACCTCCAGAGGGACACAGACTTGCCTCCTCAGCTGTCCTTTATCTAAATCTAAGTTAATCTGCCCCTTTGAGGTAAGGATACAGCTGTGAGGAAGCTCTAGAGTCCACCCACCGCTTTACCCAAATAAAATATTGTAGAGTGCCTAGCTCAGCCTGAGACTGCGGGAAGGTGCATGAGGTCCTTACCTTGCATGCAAAACTTAAGGGGAAGCCAAAAACCTCAATCATCAAATTAAGTAATATTTCAACACAATTTTATGTTTTGAGACAGAGTCTCACTCTTGTCCCCCAGGCTGGAGTACAATGGCATGATCATGGCTCACTACAACCTCTGCCTCCTGGGTTCAAGCGATTGTTCTGCCTCAGCTTCCCAAGTAGTTGGGATTACAGACGTGAGCCACCACTCCTGGCTAATTGTTGTATTTTTAGTAGAGTTGGGGTTTCACCATGTTGGCCAGGCTGGACTCGAACTCCTAACCTCAGGTGATCCGCCTCCCAAAGTGCTGGGATTACAGGCTTGAGCCTCCATGCCCGCCTTTTTTTTTTTTTTTT